TGGAGGGTTTCACCCCAAGTCCAGCACCCTGAGGCTGTACGCTAAGCGGAAGGAAGGGGGCCGGGGACTGGTGAGTGTCAGCACCACAGTCCAGGATGAGACAACGAACATCCAAGAATACATTGGGAAGATGGCCCCAACTGACCGAGTGCTCAGTGAATACCTCAGGCAGCAGAAACCCAAGAAAGAGGAGGAAGACGAGGAACCATCATGGAAGGACAGGCCCCTGCACGGTATGTACCACCGGCAGATAGAGGAGGTGGCTGATATCCAGAAATCCTACCAGTGGCTGGACAAAGCTGGACTGAAAGACAGCACAGAGGCACTAATCATGGCAGCACAAGAACAAGCTCTGAGTACAAGATCCATAGAGGCTGGGGTCTATCACACCAGGCAAGACCCCAGGTGCAGGCTGTGTAAAGATGCCCCAGAGACAATCCAGCACATAACAGCAGGGTGCAAGATGCTAGCAGGCAAGGCATACATGGAACGCCATAACCAAGTGGCCGGCATAGTGTACAGGAACATCTGTGCCGAGTATAACCTGGAAGTCCCGAGGTCAAAGTGGGAGATGCCCCCAAGGGTGGTGGAGAATGACCGAGCTAAGATCCTGTGGGACTTCCAGATACAGACGGACAAAATGGTGGTGGCTAACCAACCGGACATAGTGGTGGTAGACAAACAGAAGAAGACTGCCCTAGTGATCGATGTAGCGGTTCCGAATGACAGCAATATCAGGAAGAAGGAACACGAGAAGCTGGAGAAATACCAAGGGCTCAGAGAAGAGCTCGAGAGGATGTGGAGGGTGAAGGTAACGGTGCTCCCCGTGGTAATCGGAGCACTAGGTGCGGTGACTCCCAAGCTAGGCGAGTGGCTCCAGCAGATCCCGGGAATAACATCGGAGATCTCTGTCCAGAAGAGCGCAGTCCTGGGAACAGCTAAGATACTGCGCAGGACCCTCAAGCTCCCAGGCCTCTGGTAGAGGACCCGAGCTTGAAGGATAAACCGCCCGCAGGGGCGTGCTGGGTGTTTTGTTTTGTTTTATTTTATTTATACATACATACATACATACATACATACATACATATAAATAAAAATAAAATATTCTGTAACTTCTGTCGGTGCTGTGCTTTTTTGGAAATCGAATTTCCCAGAGGAACCCACCCGAGGGATTAATAAAGTTCTATCTAATCTAATCTAAAGCACAACAAAGATTGTCTCTGATGGCAGATGTTAAGAAGCACTTTTTACTGTACTTCTATACATCATTAAAAAAACATTACTATTTAAAAATGGGGAAAAAACCCAAACACTAATATTCTCGTATCAATGTCAACATTCAAGATTCCACTCAGATTTTTATTATTTAAAGAAAAAAAGAAATGCATGCTGTTAATTCTGGAGTTGCACAGGGAACTCAAATGCCTGTGCAGGTTCTCATCCAGGTCGTGGTAACCCAAGGAGCTTGGGAAGAAAAGCAACCAGGCTTCTTGTTCTTTAAGTTTCTTGAAGACATTGAAAAGCTTCTTCTGTTTTAAGACCAAATGGTGGACAGTTTGAGGTATTTCCAGGCACCTTAACATCCACTCACATCTTGCGTCAGTTGATCTCAATGGGTCACATGACAGGCTGAGGCAATGGTTTCACCTGAAACTTCTGCTAATAATGACCCACATGCTTTTCACACCTTATAAGACAATGTTCTGCTTCTAAATTCAGAAAAAACAGATTATTGTACTCGGCCTAAAAAACGTACAATTATGGTATCCAACCAGATACTTACTCTGGGTGGCATAAACTTGGCCTCCACGAACACTGTCAGGAATCTTTGAATTGGTTTTGACCAGGATGTGTCCTTCAATGTGTATTTTAAAAAAATATTTAATACTACTTTTTTCCACTTGCACATTTGCATGCCAAGTATCATTGGCCAAGATACAAACCGCGAGTTGGTCTCTGATGCATCCATAGAGAAATACCCCTCAAAACCATTACAAATGCATATTATATGATCTACAAGTGTAAACAAAGATTGACAAATTTGTACAGTGAATTAGCCTAAGGAGCTTGGAAAGAAAAGTTTCTGGACTTCTTTAAGTTTCTTGAAGGCGTTTCATTTCTCATCCCAGAAGCTTCTTCAGTTCTAAGACCAAATGGTGGAGACTCCCAAATTTAAGGCTTTTTAGGAGTGATCCTAAGAGGGTCCTGGACCCCCAATTGATCCTCTGCCTAATCACACGAGCCAAAGTGTGAAAACGGGTGTGGGTCACAATCACCCAAGGTTTCAGGTGAACCCATTGTGAGACCTTGCCCCAGCCTATCATCTGACTTACTGATCAAATGACCCAAGATATGAGTGGGCATTAGGCGTTGTGTGTTGTGCCATGTGTTTATGAAGTGGCTGTTTGGTCTGAGCATTCCTCGCTGCACTGTACAGCATACACTTGTTGTTACGTTTGTTTTTGGGAGTGTTTTTCTTTCGGATGAACCAATTTCTATCTCAGTGTGTGGCTGAGTCTGAAGTACACTGGGATGTTGTGCTTGGAAAAGACTCATGAGTTTCTCTAACAAACCTGGTACATAAGGGATGACAATATTGTTCTGCTTGTCTTAATGTAGCCAAAAACTGGAAATGAAAACAAAACTTAAAAGTGAAAAAGAGAATTTTATTTATAACTTTAATGAGCCCGTAGCATTTCACAGTTCTCTACTTGACGACATTTGGGCCAAAAAAATTAAGCTCGCATATGTGTGCCAAAATCCACAGTTCAAGGTATAGTCGCCTGAGGCTGGATCCAAAAACAAGTCAGATCACCATGTTAAAGTGCCCACCGAACAGCAACTACAAGTTATGATTACAGTTTCTAAGCTGTAAAAAAGAAGAAGAAAAATGGCAACCATCAGAGCTGCCCCCTATTAGATTTCAAACTCCCATGTCACTGTGTTATCAAATTATTCAATTCACAAGATTTTCAGAAAACTTGACCTCTGACCATGAGGTTGAGGTCACTTAGATTCGAGCTCATCCAAGATCTTTTTAATTAGATTCACCTATGGTGTCAATTTACTGTTTCCTTGTACTCTGGTAATCACATTCACAAACTCAGACATCTATACCACCCGCTTGCTCCGTGGGTTGATGACAATAAACCATCTGCATCTACAGCTGAGGGGAAAAATTTATAGTCAAAAAGCTGTTTTGGACGATAGCTTCCATAATCAAGACAAGTTCCCAGAGCACAAGAGCCCAAAGAGGATGACTGCAGAGGCAATCGCACCACCCACCAAGAGAAGAGCTGAGAGGCCCAGGAGGGGTCACCCAGGCCCCAGCAAACAGCTGCTGGGAGGGAGCCAATACACACCCGGGCACCCAGACACAGAACCACCAATGCACCAGTGGGCGGGGGCATCAACCAGGGAGTGTTATTGGGTGGGGGATTTTTAGTGCAACTGGGAAACTGGGCTGTAATGAAGGTGTGATGTACTTCCCTAAAAATGCTACCATATAAGACAGAACAATTTAGAGCCATTGCCAAAATTCTGGAAATTAGCCACCTGAACAGCAGTGTTACTCCACAAAAGTAAATTATTACACATGTTTTCTGACTTTTCTTCATGCAGTCTATTACTCAATTACTTGCTGGCGAAAGTAATTTGTTACACCACTCTCTCGTTACTCTGAAAAATCAACTAAAACGCATTGTCACATATTTACCAGCCTATAAAACAAATCTTTTGTTACAGTTGCACACATCAACACAAATCTCTATCCTAGTAAGGACAGATATGCAATCTTTCCTTCAGTTTTTTTGTTTGTTTTTTTACACTCATATGAACAGAAAACCTGTAAAACACAAAGCAAGCATGCATATCAGCCCAAAGATACTTTAAAGCGACCGCCACAGTGATTCTACTTCAGAACCATGAACAAGTAGAAATAGGCTTTAACCCTGGCTGCTCCTCACTGCTTGTGTTACCTGTTGAAGATCAGGCTCTGGCTGATGAATGTTTTATTTTTTGTGAGTAGGAGTAGCGCACTACTGTGATCAATGAACTTCCTCAGGGATTAATAAAGTTTGTTTAATCATTTCTTTTCTGTGTGCCCGGCACACATGTAGCTGAAGAAGCTTTGTAACTGTAATGTGCAGGACTGTGTTACATTATTGGGTGAGATTCCTTTGTGATAAGGAAAACCTGCCCAGATTGATGGGTTCCTAACTTATATATTATTATGTCTGTGAAGGTTCTCAGTCATCCAGGTCATCGTAGTCAAAGGAGCTTGCAAAGAAAAGCGTCTGGACTTCTTTAAGTTGCTTGAAGACGTTTCACCTCTCATCCGAGAAGCTGCTTCAGTTCTAAGGTCAAATAGTGGAGAGTCTTCAAGCAACTTAAAGAAGTCCAGACGCTTTTCTTTGCAAGCTCCTTTGACTATATATTATTATGCAAGTTTATAAAGTTTAAGCAAAATGTCTTTTTTTTTTCTTCTTCTTCTTCTTTTTTTTTAACGCTAAATTAATTTGAATGTCTGTCGTATTATAGTCAGGAAGTCAAAAGATACAAACACATTAGGTTCCTCGTTACAGTGGGGAAAAAAAAGAGTAATCAAATTGACTACAAACCAGTTTACAATGTTCCACTGTTCTCCTACCTAATCCCACGTCATCTATTATCATTTGCCACACACTGCAGAGTGAAACATGCTGTATTTGGCAGGAAGAAAATCTAGAAGATGCTTACATGTGTTAAGCGAGATGTCAGGGTGCACAGTTTACTTCACATACAAATGGCAAAAAATAACACTTTTGAAACCATCACAGTTTCAGTTCTTCTTTTTCTAAAAGAAAGAAGTGCTGCTGCCACTTCACACATAGCTACATTTCAGTTTGCAGTAACGTCCTTTCTCAACCTGCCTCATGAGGCCACGACTGCATCAAGAAAACCCAGCAAACCAGCCATGTACATAAGAGAGACACACATAAGATGCTGGGAAGGTTACTTACTGCTTTTTTGCTCCATGTTGCTGGGAATGTCTCCAGAGTCCCGGTGAAGACCAACAGACCAGTAGGACATTCTTCTTGGAGCTACTAGTTAGGTTAACCACTGTTAAAGGAAAGAGGAGGCCTAAATATACCTGTCAGCCTGCACACAGACAAGGTTGCTGTGATGTAGAACAAACACATACTCTTTGAATTCATTAAAAAAGGTCATTCTACCAGTTGATTAGGCACAATTAGCTGTGCAGCCCGAATAATACAAAACAACAACTAAGTGTGCTAAAAGATCAAAATCAAAGAACAGACTTTCAGGTTGAATTCAAAGTATTGAACAAAGGCATTGCATGAAATGTTTAGTATTTGGAGAAATTGTGAAGCGCAGGCCACAATTTAACAAAAATCTTATTGGCCCATTTAACAGAATACATAAAATCATTAAATATGGATTGTTTTTAATACTTGGATGAAAGTCCTTAGTCCTCATAACTATCTAAAGTATAAACTCCCTTGAGATGCTCTGCCAGGCTTATACTACAGTTATCTTCTGTTGGAGCGACCGGGGCTCAGGGGGTTGGGAATCGCATCTGTAACAGGTTCGATCCCCGGGCTCTCTGTCCTGGTCGTTGTGTTCTTGGGCAAGACACTTTACCCTTCTGCCTACTGCCTACAGGTGATGGCCAGAGGGGCCGATGGCGTGATATGGCAGCCTCGCTTCTGTCGGGGCAGCTGTGGCTACAACCGTAGCTGCCTCCACCAGTGTGTGAGAGTGAATGAATAGTGGCATTGTAAAGCGCTTTGGGTGCCATGAAAAGCGCTATATAAATGCAATCCATCATTATTGTTGTTGCTTGCGGTTCTCTCTGCCTTCAGTCAACACGCTGTCATCCATTTGCACATTGTAGCGTTGCCCTATACATTTGACATGATATGGCTAAATATGAGCAAGAAGTATGGTGCTGTAGGATTATCCTACTACTCCTACCAGGACTCACATCATCAATAACCACATGTGTTTGATGGGGGCACAGAGGTAGAGAGGATGCCAAGCTGCTGTGTCTGTGTTCCAATTCTGATCCCCAAGGATCCCCAGAAGGAACCGGTTTCATCTAACTAACAGCCAATAACCTGCCTCAGGACCACATGTAATGTCCTATCAGGCATCATAGTGCCTAAGATAAACAGACATATGGCTCACTACACGAGCAGAGCACTAAAAGGATGGTGATGTCGCGAACAACACTAGAGGCCAACTTCAAGCCAACAGCACAAGCTGCCAAGTGCGGGATTTACCAAGGAGATGTCCTGTCATCAGTACAGACAGATATATATCGTTATATCGAACAGCCCTATATCCTGATAAATATTTTGGTCATATTGCCCTGCTCTACCAACTACAGCAGTTGTTAATAGTCAAAACTGAGGAATCGCACAACCAGAAGACAACACTGCAGTAACACAGGACAGCTACAAGCACCTGGGAATCGCACAGGTAAATGGGAACCATGAAGAGACTACTAGGAAAGTGACAAACACCAAATACCTGCAGAGGGTCAGGCAATGTCCCGAGAAGTCGGATGATTGGGAAGGACAAGATCTGGGCAATCTACGCCTACACCCTACTGTTAGTCAGATACCCTGTTGGCCATAGGAAGCACAGACAAGGAAGCTCCTTACAGAGTTTCACCCCAAGTCCAGCACCTTGAGACTGTACAGTAAACGGAAAGGAGGAGACTGAGCACTAGTGGGAGTCATAACCAGTATCTAGCATGAAATACCAAACATCCAGGTGCGCATCTGGAAGATGGCCTATAACTGTGCTTAGTAAATACCTCAGGCAACAGAAAGCTGGAAGGACAGGCCCCTGCATGTGTTCCATGCTGCATTTTCTAGCGTTAGTCTGGAGTGCCAACATGAGGTATAACGACTGTGACTGTAGCCGCTGACAGTCCAAATGTCTGTGCATGTCTCTGCTGTGTGTAGCTGCGCAGAAATTTTTATACCCCTAGCCAACTTCTGAATAATATCGATAATAACAACAACAACAACAACAATGACTGCTGGAACACAAGGTGCTTTCATTTGTGGGACATGTCACAGAAAATGGGGCAGACTTTGAAAAACAGCTTTGTTACTTTTTTTTTTAACAGTAACTCTGTCAAAAAAAAGAGTTAAAAAAACAAATCACGACAACTGAGTTAGTGGTTCCTGCTTACCACGAGACACAGCACGTCTTAGCACCGCATTAATATCCAACTTACCGCATGCCTGAAAGGTCCAGTGAGAGGCAGAGAGGGTTTTGCAGCGTTGCTGTATATACCAGCCGCGGATTACCTCACAACAATCTTTTACTGGACTTCCTGATTCCACGAAAAAACTTTCCACTCCGGACGAATTTTGAGCAGTCGGGTTGTTTAACACAGAGATTTCCGGTATTAATTTTCAAAATAATATGGATGCCTGGTGTGTTTTTCAAAATAAGGTCCAGAAGGGTTGTAAAGGCTTGTAGAAACGCTTTTGCCCATCAGAGTATGCTTGTAGCTCATAATTATAAAGCCTGGACGGTTTGCCACTTCATTTTACCCGTTAATGTATGCTTGTAGGTAACATTCACAAAGATAGCATGGTTTGGCACTGACTTTTAGCGGTTCAAGTATGATTCTAGCTCATATTCACAAAGGTAGGATGGTTCGCCACTTAATTTCGTGTTGTGCGCATGCGCAAAAACAACGGTTAGGATGGTTCCCCAGAGCACCTGTTGAGGTCTGAAATTGGCATTTTCTTTTTCAGGGATTGTGCAGATTTGATAAGTGTTTTTTTGCGATCGTTGTTTTGTTGCATGATCCAGTTTTAACCTAAGCTTGGTCTCGTGGACTGATGGCCTCACACAGTGGTGTTTTTGATATGGGCGACACGGCGAGGTGCGCCTGCTGCTTGCCGCACAGGGAGGAGGGGCGAGGGATTCTCTGGCATTTAATAACCAGCTCGCAAAATAAAAGTAAATAAAAGAAAGCAACAACCACAAAAACAGAATACATTATGATATAGATTTGTAATTTGCACCGATGTGTTTTCTAAATTCTGTCACACATATGCGAAAAGTGAGCCCTCAGTGCGCCTGCTTGCTGCCGATGCTGTGCTGCTGAGGTCTATCACACAACCTCTCGAAAGGGGAGGGGGCAGGGTGCTTCCAAATAGAGCACATTTCATTCATAATGTTGTCAGTTCAAGCCTATTATGTATTAATTATTTCTTCCTGGGCTGTACGAAATCCCAGAAAAAAAACCCCTATACTAATCGAATCTCTGCACTAAGGTGTAGGTCTGTTAGGTTATGTTGTGGTGATTTTCGGGTTTGGGGATGGGTGTTGATGCTGGAGTGCAAAATGAACACCAGCGGAAGATTGACAAGAAAAGGTTAAAGCCATCAGGTGCTCAGTGTACAAAAAAAAGAGAAAAGAGGAGGAGGAGAAACTATCAAAAGATACAGGTAAGCAGATGTGTCATTGGATAATGACAGGTATTATGTATAACATGTATCCTGAACAAGATAACATTTCTGCTTACGTTTGTTAGCCACTGGTCTATCTTAGTAAGCAGTAGACAGACACTGATTGTTGATTTGCCTCCTATTGTCATTGTATGACAAATCATAATGGCTGCTTGTTAGCCATTTGCATACTCTCTCTCTCTCTCTCTCTCTCCACACACACACACACACACACACACACATATATATATATGTTAAATTCGGTCAGAACAAAAAAGTCAATTTGCATACATCAGGAATACTGTAAATGGATGGTATTTCTGCCCAGTCTCCCAAATAAAAACGAATGACTTTGTGGATGTTTTATTGGTTTGTGTCTCTCATAAAACCTTCTGTAAGGAAAAGAACAAACAAGGTTAACAGACACATCTATGTAGTCACCAGTGTTGGTCAAGTTACTTGAAAAAAGTAATCAGTAACTAACTACTGATTACTTCCCCCAAAAAATAATCCCGTTACTTTACTGATTACTTATTTTCAAAAGTAATTAATTACTTAGTTACTTAGTTACTTTTTAAAAACACGATTTACAACCTGAGTAGGTGATAAAGCGATAGATCTTTCAGCCCAATTCTACTTTTTCTGCATAATCCATCATACAAAATGTAATCAAATGGAAAAGTCTCTTTTTAAAACTTGTTTTATCAGTTTTAATCTTTTAATTTTATGCATGAAGCAAAAATTTAATTATCTGCAACATTCACTGACTGGAAGAAATTAGTTTAACATTTAAACTTATTTTCTGCACATTCCAGCACATAAAATAAAATATTTTGTGTGTTTACACTCAGTCTTTCAAATAGATGCAAGTAAAACACAGCAGAAAATAAATAAAGTCACAGACTCAGCGGTGCTGTTGCTCTATTTTCACCTGTAAAGCAGGAGTGGGGTAGGCGGAGGGTTACCCTGGTGCAGGTGTGCCACGGTCAGTGGAAGAATCCGCGAGTTTCTCTGTGAGTTTCCCATTACGTCGTAGCTACTCGGTGCTTGTTTGGAAGTTTAGGGGTTTTTCGCTGTAAAAAGAAGTTTTCTTCCCACGCACAGCGGACACTAATGTTTTTGTCACTTTTTATGGAATCAAACTCAAAGTAAGGTCAGTACTTCCACGCTTTAAACGCTGCACGCTCATACTCTCTCCCGCACTCGATATATTATCCATTGTTGATCTGCACACAGCTGCTGTCACCAACGTCGCACTCGCTTACGTCACTGTCATGAGACATTCTCGCAAAAAATCACGGTTTTAGTAACGCAGTAACGCAGCGTTCCTACGGGAAAGTAACGGTAATCTAATTACCGTTTTTGCAATAGTAATCCCTTACTTTACTCGTTACTTGAAAAAAGTAATCAGATTACAAGTAACGCGTTACTGCCCATCTCTGCTTACAACAAGCAAACAAGTACTGAACAGGTAGTAAGTGGGGTGCAATGGGATGTCAGGGGCAGGGTGGTCTCAAACCGAGCAAAGAAGGTATTCAGCTCCTCTGCTAGTGTCAGGCTGACCTTTGAAGCTGGAGAGGGCTTGGATGCCTCTCCACACCTGGTGGGGGTTGTTGTGTGTGTATAAGCTCTCTATCTTCCTCCTGTAGGCCTCCTTGTACACTGTACACATGATCCGGTGTCCTGTCCCTACTTGTAGGAAACCTATCATGTTGGTGGAATTTGGGGAGTACAGATGTCAAACGTGCCTTATTGAAGTCCTCAGCAACAACATGGATACCCTTTGGGTGTTCTTGCTGCTGTTTGCTGATGACAAGTTGGAGGTGGTTGAGGGCTGAGCTAACATTAGCATCAATGGGGATGTAAACAACAATAACTACGACTACCATTAGCTCGCCAGGTAGATAAAAGGACCTTCAGTCAATGGACATTCAGGTGTTTTTTTGTTTTTTTTTGGTTCTTTGTTTTCTTTGATCCATTTTTCTCACATAGAATTTCACTTTCAATAGATTGTTGTATCTAGATAGTCACACTTGATGATATCACTGGTAAAAGAACCCTGAAAAAAAAAGAGCAGAGACAACTAATCAAATAACAAATCAAACCCACTGACAGCATCTTCGAGGACAGACCAAAGTTTATCAGCTTAGGATCATTGAGATCAAAGTGAGCTTTGGTTGTACACACAACTGAGATTTTTCCATGCTTAATTTACGTGCTGTGCTCTTTTGATAAGCTAGAATTCCCTGCCTAAACGAGTTTCTAATTTCAAACAATATACAGAACTCACTGTACTTCCATGGAGCTTCACAATAAATTATTGGGGTATTCTTTGAAAAATGAAATGAGACATCATCAGATTTATGTGCTGCCACAATACATTTGCCTATGACAAAAACAAAAGTGGACCTTTTAGTGCTCTGATATCTCATATATTGCCCCTACACTGCTTTCAGCATAGTTTGTTTAAAACAAAATTTGGAGTGTGTGGGTGTTAGAGAATTGTGATGTGGTCTCGTGCAACAGGAAGTGCAGAGCACTCGATTTTCCCAGTTCTTCTCAGACGTTTTCTTTCACTTTGATCGTCACTGTTTTCACCTCAGAGTATTCAGCATAGCATATTCTCCACTGAGCGGACAGAGACAACACATGAGAAAAGTTAGAAAATACAGATCCAATAAATATAATGAAAGTGTATGAATAATGAAACAGCTGAGGCTTATACCCTCTAAAGCAGGGGTGTCAAACTCAAGTACACAGAGGGCCAAAATTCAAAACTGGAACAAAGTCGCGGGCTAATGTTAATATTTAATGAAATATATTTATTCCTCCAGATATAAGAATGAATCTTTTCTTATGGACTCAAACACGTTTTGCTGAAAAACTTAATATGGAACAAGCAAAGCTTAGTACTAAACAATATATATATTAGCTGTATAATACCAGCAGGCCAGCTCTGATAGTAATTTGGTATGGCTTCGCGGGCCAAATGTAATTAGGCTGCGGGCCAAATTTGGCCTGCGGGCCAGAGTTTGACACCTATGCTCTAAAGGGAGTCTGGGGGAGTGGGGTCTCTTTTTATTGACTGTCAGTTCTTTCATGTGTTCAGTAAAGATACAAACCTTTGCAACAGCCCATCCATGGTATAAATCAAATAAATAAACCATTTACTGATATTTAATTATTTGGTTTTCAGTTTGAGTAGAAATAAGCAAAGATTAACATTATAGTTAACCAGTGTTCATGTTCATTTACACAAACTTTAACTTGAACATCCCTCTGCTGTTAGGACCATAAACAGGGACTTTAAGGGACTTACCAGACAGTGCCAGTCTCCAGTGCTGCAGACACAGATAAAGCTTTGTCCACACTTTTTGTAAAGACTGCTGACACTAGGCCATACTGTGTGTGAGTTGCTCTCTCTATGGCCTCCTGTTGGCTCTTGAAGCTGAATATACATTGCTCTGGACCAAAGAAACAGGAACATATTAGTGAGCACCAGCCAGATGTAAAGCATGTAAAGTGGTTCCCAATCTACAACAGTGTATAACACTGAGAACAGAAAATGAATGAGAAATTGCATTTCTTGTTAGTTATTTATGACTATGTTCAGTACAGCAACGACTTTCTTTCTGTTTTTATACATTGTGGCGAGGTGTGGTTAAACAGCTGGTACTGTTTAAGTTACTCAATCAGTACCAGCCTACCTGCCCTGCCAGCCTCTATGGTGCTCAACCCACTGCACCACCCCTCTTATGCAACAGAGGCCCAAACCACACCCCGCCAGTGTATAAAACAGAAATAGAGTCTTTGCTTTATTGAACATAGCTAAGGGCCATGCAGCTATTTTGTTGTGTGTTTTCTTCTTTATCATTAGTAATGAAACAACGTTAACGTTAACTGCATTAACGCGGCAAATCT